ACACACACACACACACACACACACACACACACACACACACACACTTGTATTTGCATCAAACTGAGGACTTTGTATTGACTTCCATTCATGTTTGTAACTGTAGTTATGCCTAACCCAGACATTTTCCCTAAAATTAACCATAACTGGTCTATAGTTAACACTAACCTGAATTAAACTTAATTCACACCATACCGGAAATGTGGAGCCTCAAGCACTATGTGAATGGTTCTTTTTGCTAATGTGTTTTTATTACTTATAATTGTGTGCGTGCATGATACGTATGCTTTGTACCACTGCAATACAAATTTACCTTTTTTGGTATAAATAAAGTAACCAAACCAAAACCTCTAAACCTGACTAGTAAAGTACAGCAGAGCTGCAAAGTACATTGAAGAGGTCCTCACTCTGTCGTCAAAACAAGTACACATGCACACGTTTCCACCTACGAGTTCTCACTGCAGTTTGTGTATTTGATTAAAAAGTTTAGTGTTACACAAGAATCTGAGGCATGAAACCAAGCACACAAGTATGAAATAAACACACACACACACACAAACAGCCTGATCTCATCTGCAAACACTAAAACATTAACACTGTCACATACACACAATAAATCTCATTCCATTTTGTTTCAGGAAATTGGATTGCTTCTTCTCCAGATAACCTGATTATAAACAGCATCTGTCTCACACCGGGCCTGGATCACTTAATAAAGCTGAGTGCAGCAAAACGTCAGCATGCCCACACTCAAACACACACACACATACATACATACACACACTACTGAAGACCATTTATCAGTCTGAAGTGTGCAAACAAACAGAAGCTTTCAAAGGATTTTACAGCTAAAAGTCAAATACACCAGGGTTTATGTGAACAGATCAATACCTGTGAATCCTGCCACTGTGCTGAAACATACAACCAAACATTAAAAACAAGAGTACAGAAGCAAACTGATCGTGTCCTCCACTTTGATCTAGCTCTGCCCTGCAGAAATGATTATGTGACAAAAACCAAGCTTTACAAACAAAGAGTTTCGCATTTGTGCCAAGATGATTTATTTAGAAGGAAAGGCATTTTTCCACCTTGGTGACAATTATACTTTCAAACTGGACATTATTTATTTTTGTCATTCTTACCGTTTTTAATAAATGCTTCTTGTATAGCTTCTTAAAATTGTTACAAGTGCAACAAAATCTTGATTAACTTGTGAAAAACACTCATTCAAAACAAACAAAACAGTGAATTGAAGAAGTAATCAAGCATACATCCTGTAGTATTTTATAGTAACCAGTGGGTTTTAAAGTTCATGACTTATAATCATTTTTTAATAAATTTTACATATATAACCAATTTAAAATTGTTTTTTATAAATTTAGTTAATTTATAAATTTGACAAATACAGCTAATAATCACTTAGAATGAGATTAAATATTCCAAAATGTCATTTCCTTTTTGCCAGTAYAGTATCCTGGTCCTCTGCTATCCTGCAGGTTTTACTTGTTAGTCTGCTCCAACACACCTGATTCACTGACTGAATTACCTTCTCTAGTTGTGCAGAAGCCTGTTAATCACACATTCATTCAAACCAGGTGTGCTGGAGCAGAGAAACAAGACATGCAGGATAAGCCCACATGATGCCTCTGAATTAAACTTCACATTTTAAATAAATGCATTAAGAAAGCTGCTTTTCATCAGCAATAAGATATGTTGTAATATGATGCTCTGAAAAAATATTTAAAGACAGTATATTTGAAATATTTAAGCACCTAATAAAAAACTTGTTGATATAATAAAAAGATTTAATCTTTTGCCAATCGCAGACTGTTTATTACACATAAAAAACACGCCCTTTTTTTAATTTAATGGCTCTAAAAAATGT